CCTTGATCCCGACGCTGGCGCGGGTGAGAGAGCCGAAGATGTCGGGTTCGGGGCGGGCAGCAGCTAGGACACTTCCGTCCTCCTCGGTGTCGTGGAGACTGTTCAGTTACCCCCCAGCCCAGGGAAAGAGCCCCTCAAGGCGAGGCGCGTACAGGCTCTGGACACCTCATTCTTTGCTGAGCCCATGGTGTGCTCGAGTGAGAATACTTGGTAATATGTGGCTAAGTGGTCAGTCATCGTGCGAGACAACTCAGATCTTCCTTAAGTCCCCAGGCACAGTTACCGAACCGCCTCCAAAAGCCCACTTCTAGCTCCTATACTTAAAGTCTTCAGTGCCTTCTCCCCCCTTTAACTGGTCTTAATGTGCTGTCCAGGCTGGCCTCAAATTTACAATTCTCCTGCCTCATCCTCTCAAGTACTGGAATTATAGGTTTGAACCAACACACTTAGTTTATTTATTTATTTTGCGTAGCCATTTGCCGCTATAAACTTGCATCTTGGTACTATTTTGGTCCCTCTCTCTTCACTTTTTTTTTTTTTTTTTTTGGTATGGTAGGCTTTAATCTGCCTCGAGATTAAAAAAACAAAAATCGTTCTTCATTACTGTAACATTTTGGTTGTTCAACTGTGGTTTTAAATATCTGCATGTTTGTGAATTTTCCAGTTTTGATATGCTGTTGGTTTCCGGTTTTATTTCTGTGTTGTTGAAAGGTCGTTGTTACGATTTATGTGACATAACTTGTGAGCTCTTGAGAATGTTCGTTCATGCATTTGAGAGGAATGTATGGTCCGTTGTGTGGAATGTTTGTGTATCTCACTTAGACAAACTTAGCTTACAGTGTTGTAGTTGTCTAGTATTGAAACCCCCAACCCAGTCCTGTATATTGCAAGTGTGGCATTGAAATCTGTTGCTTTTACTTCCCCCTCCCTTCAGTTCTCAGTGTCTGTTTCATATATTTGAGTTCTCTAATAATAGGTCTACATTTAGTTATGATTGTTAATACCTTCCTGCTAACTCTTCTTAATACTTTATAATGTTCGTTGTTTTGTTTTTTGTTTTACACCCCAACCCAGGACCTTGGCATGTTAGGGAATCTCATTTTCTTCTTTTTGTTTTAAGATTTAAAAAATGTGTGCATATGTGCATGTGCTTTCATGAGTTTAATGTGTATGTGTATTGGTGCCCATGAAGGCCAGAAGAGGGTATTGGATTTTCTGGAATTGGAGTTACAGGTGGGTATGAGCCACCTGCTGTGGGTGTTGAGAACTGAACCCCAGTCCTATTTAAGAACAGTAAATGCTCTTAACTTCTGAGCTGTCTCTAGCCCCAGCAATCTCATTTCTTTTGAGTCTCTTTACAGGAATTTTCCTTGTGGTATTTTAAATTGATAATTTTTACTCATTGTGTTCAGGGTATGGATGCCATAGAGTGTATTTTTTTGTTTTGAAGATTTTTTATTGGTCTTATTTATTTATTTATTTGAATTAGAAACAAGATTGTTTTACATGTCAATCCCAGTTCCCACTCCCTCCCCTCCTCCCCTACCACCGCCCAAAAACAGAACGAAGATTTTTTTAAGAGAGAGAGAGAGTGTGTGTGTGTGTGTGTGTACTCACACACACTTGTGAGTATAGCTGTCCTTTGAAACTGAAGAGGGTGTTGGATCCCCTGGAGCTGAAGTTATATGTGGGGAGGGAGTGACCTTGTATATCTGGTTAATACTAGAGTCTTCCTGACGACTTTGAGTTGTTTATTTCCTGAGCTTAAGAAGCATCTCTGTAGGATGGGATATATTCCCTTCCTTTAGCACATTCTGTGTCTTGGCTGGGTGTGGTAGCATAAGGCAGAGGCTGGAGGGTCTTTTGAGTTCAAGACTAGCCTGATCTAGTTGTCAAGTTCCAGGCCAGCTAGGGCAGAATAATGAATAACAACAACAACAACAACAACAACAGCATCCTGTGTCTTAATGAGTTTCCCTCCAAAATTGAAGGTTTTATCCTGTAGGAAATTGCTACACAATACCTGTCATTCATGGAAGCCCTGGGCTTGATCTCTAGTGTCACATATAACAGAGTGTAGTGGCATGTGCGTATAATTTTAGCACTCTGAAGTTGCTGGTAGGAGGATGAGAAATCTAAGGTCATCATCCTTGGTTCTTTAGCAAGTTCAAGGCCAGCCTGGTGTGCCTCTTTGATGAGATGGGAGGTAGAGACAAGAAAATCTCTGGAAGCTCACAGGCCAGCTGGACTGGCACACACAGTAGAGAAAACAAAGAAACTGTCTCAAAACAAGGTGGACTGACACCTGAGCTGTTTCTCTGATGTCTACACATACACCCATGTTTACAAACATAAAGATTTTGAATGCATTTTCTTTTTTAAAAAAACATGTGAGTACTCTATATGGATGTACAGCTTTATGCCAGAAGAGGGCATCAGATCCCACTATAGTTGGTTGTGAGTGGTTGTTGGGAATTAAATTCAGCACCTCTGGAAGAGCATCCAGTGCTCTTGACCGCTGAGCCATCTCTCCAGCCCCTAAATGCATTTTCAAGTGCCTTTTCCCAGAGATGCTGGTTCAGAATGCTTAGGCTGTGGCTTAGGAAACTGAGCTTTCACAGCATGCTTGCTGTATTCATTTACAGGAGCTGCCTTACAACAGAAATTTCTGTTTTCTTCTCTTTTCTTTTTTTTTTTTTTTAAGATTTATTATATATACAGTGTTCTGTCTGCACACCAGAAGATCGCATTAGATCTCATTATAGATGGTTGTGAGTCACCATGTGGTTGCTGGGAATTGAACTCAGGACCTCTGGAAGAGCAGTCAATACTCTTAACCTCTGAGCCATCTCTCCAGCCTAAATTTCTGTTTTCAAAGTTCTGGAGACTGGGATGAAGATGGTATCATAGTTATTTTCTCTCATGGTCTTACTCCATGGCTTTCAGATAGCCACTTTTCCATTGTGCCTTCACATGGTCCTTCTTTTTACATGTACATTTCTGACTTGCTGGGCAATTGATGCCTTGGTGTGGACTTCCTCAGGTTCATGATACTGAGGTCTCTTGAGCATCTCAAATCTGAATGGCCATTTCTTTTTCCAAATTTTGGAAGTTTCAGTCATTCTTTCTTTTCTTTTTTTCTTTAAAGATGGTGTGTGTGTGTGTGTGTGTGTGTGTCTGTCTGTCTGTCTGTCTGTCTGTCTGTCTGTCTGTCTGTCTGTGTCTGTGTGTGTTTCTTCTCTGTTTATGTGTTCTGGGGATAGAGCTCAGGTCCTCAAGCACCTTTACCTTCCTCTATCATTCATAATCAGTAGCTTTCCCTAGTGTCTGTGATGCTATAGTTTCATTGTAACCACTGTAAGTTGTTCAGAGTCCCCTTCCTCCTCCTTTGCCTCCTTGTTTTGTTTGGTACTGTAGCCCTTCAGCTTCATAGTAGCCCTGCTCTAGCCTCTCAAGTGCTGGGATTACAGGCACCATGCCCTAGCTAGTTACTCTGCTCTCTTATTCTCTGTGCTGCAGGACTTCTAGAGTATGCTGGCTGTATTAGTGTTACAAGTTGTTCAAATAGAAACCAACCTATCCCTTAGGCTCCAGAACATTAACCATGCACTATTCCCTGAGCCCTGGGAAAGAGGCTCCCAAACGATATTAGATTTTTGTCTGCTGTGTGAGATTTCCTCTGTACAAAAGTAAGCCTCTCAGCTCTCTTGGTCCTCGTGGTCCTTAAGTATCTGAAATGGGTTGGGTCCTGATGTTGCTCTGAGGCAAGAGAGACAAAAACCAGCCCCCATAGGCAGCCCCTGAGATGCTAGAGCATTAGATGGACACCCCAACTCTATTTCCCCAGGGAAAACTGGGAGTTATGGATTTTTTCTTTTCATTCTGCAGTAAGGCAGGAATGGGGACCATGGCAAATGAATGATGCTGATGCTCACCATCACTTTTGTTTGCTACAGCTTTCACCCAGGTGACCTTTCCTATAGCACTTGTTTGGATGACCTTCTAGGAGTTTTACTTTTCCCTCCCAGGTAGAAGCCTGGTGCCAGAATGTTCTCCCCATCATCTTGTGCTTGGGTGATAGTTGTGGGGTGGGAGTGGGATGGGGTGGGGAGGGGAGGGGTTGGGGAAAGCAGGATTGTGGCATGTGCAGTCCACAGCCTTCCTGTAGGCAGCTGGTTTTGTACTCATCTGGTGAGCAAGATCCTGTTTTCCCAACTTCTCACAGAGGAAATAGATCTGTGAATTGTTGAGTCAGTATCTCCACTGGAAGGGTTTGGTGGCAAGGAGGATGTGGGTCTTCCTATTAAAAATTGTGTATGTGTGTGATATATGTTTGTTTGTATGTGAGAGAGGCAGGGGAGGGGAGTGCTTGCCTATCCTTGTGTGACCAGAAGTGACCAGAAGTCAACTTTAGGGATCTCCTGTATTTTCACTTTATTTCCTGAAACAGGATCTCTCTATTTTGCCTAGACTCCCTGACCAGTGAGCCTCTAGGATCCACCTGTGCTGGGGTTACAGATGAGGGTGTCATTCCTGGCCATGCTTGACTCTTATGTAGTTATGCACTCAGGTCCTCATGCTTGCATAGCCAGTGCTTTACTTATTGAGGTATCATCCAGCCCTTCTCATTATATCTTAGAGTTTATGCCCTTCTTAGGTTTGGAGTTTTTAGGAGATCTAGGTATCCTCCGGGTTTAATAGGTGAGTAACTGGAACACAACTATATTGTATAGTTTTAAAGGAATGCAAAAGGAGACATGTTTCTGCTGGGGTAATTTCTGGAAAAATTGGTTAACATTACATCTGGAATACTCATTCTGTCTTGTAGAATGAGGTGTTACTCAATTTATGAACATGTGTTTGTGGTTCTATTTCAGTGACTATCCCCTCTAAACCTTAGATTCATTGGTTTCCATTTCCTTTACTATAAAGGGACCAGAATCAGCAGAAGGACTGAGTGAGATCTAATGCTGCTTATGTGTTGAATAAATAGCAGTGATAGTAATCATTGTCTTATAAAGACGTTTGTGGTTTGTTTGTTTCAGGTACTGTCAAAGCACAGCCTGCTGTCTCCTTTGTTCAGTGTGACATCTTTCAGACGATTCTACAGAGGTGACAGCCCAACAGATTCTCAAAAAGACATGATTGAAATCCCCTTGCCTCCATGGCAGGAGAGAACTGATGAATCTATAGAAACCAAAAGAGCACGCCTACTCTATGAGAGCAGAAAGAGGGGGATGCTGGAGAACTGCCTTCTCCTAAGGTAGTGGGGAAGAAGGCTCTGGGTGTTACTTCTCTTTGACAAGGCAGTCTTGTCAACTTCATTTTCCTTTTAATTTTTAGCCTCTTTGCTAAAGAATATCTGCACAGCATGACAGAGAAGCAGCTGAACCTCTACGATCGCCTGATTAATGAGCCTAGCAATGACTGGGATATTTACTACTGGGCCACAGGTATTCCATATGATAAGCTGCATTTTGTGATGATAGGATAACAAGCCTATTTGTGTCTGAAATAGTATCTTAGCAATCTTTTTTCTTTTTTGAGATAGAATCTTTCTGTGTAGTCCTGAGTGTACTAGAACTCTCTATGTAGACCAGGCTAGCCTTGAACTCACAGAGATCTGCCTGCCTCTGCCCCCTGAGTGCTGGGATTAAAGGCATGCGCCTCTAAGTCAGGCCCTGTTTTCATCATTTTTATTTATATGGTAGACACCAAACCTAAACACTGTTCACATTGTTCCAGAGTGTGCAAAATTTGCTTAATCAGTTTCTTTAAAATTTTTTTTGACATTTATTTATTTTGTGTGCATGTGTGAGTGTGCATACATGTGCACATGTATTGAGATCAGAGGACAACTTAATTTTCTCCTTTCACCCCGTGGGTTTCAGGGATTGAAGTAAAGTCATCAGGCTTTGTGGCAAGTGCTTTTCCTGCCCTCTGTCTAGTTTTTTTTTTTTTTTGTGAGACAGATGGAATATAGTCTGACTTAGGTGAAAAGGGAATGTAGTAAAGCATGTGAAACTCTTAGGGTCAGAGGGAAGGCTGAAGAATAGGTTGAGAACAGGGTGAAATGTGCTGGGCTACTTCCTACAGTACAAGCCAGTTTAGTTGAGAGATAAAGGCGGCAATATTTTTGGGTGGTTTTGTCGTTTGAGAAAGGATCTTGCTGTGTAGCCCAGGCTGGCCTGGAACTTTCTATCTAGACCGAGCTGGCCTTGAATTCACAGAGATCTGCCTGCTTCTGCCCCGTCAGTGTTGGGATTAATGGCCAGACACTTGCTTTGTTTTGAGACATACAGTGACTCACTGTGTGGCCCAGATTGTCTTTGAATTCATGATCCTTCCATCCCAGCCTTCTTAGGGCTGAGTTTACAGAGTGTTGGGAATACAGACATGTGCCACCATCCCTTGTCAGAATGATGACTTTTTATTCTAAAAGTCAGCTTAATGTAAAGATGGAGGGCTCTTGTCCAAGCCCACCTTAGTCCTGGGGGGTCAGTGAGGGCTTGGAAAAGGGAAGGTTTAAGCAAGTAGGAATAGAGGCTACAATAAATCAAGCTTTTTTGAATTGCAGGCCACAGGCATAATGAGAATTGGCTTTCTCAGGGTAATGCTTTCTGAACTTTCTGAGTTTTCTATGATTAAACAGTTTCATGTTAGTGTAATGGCCATCTTATGCTATATATTAACAGACTGCCTGCTCATAACTTCCTGTAACTCCAGCTCCAGGGGATCAAAAGCCTCTGCCTTTTATGGGCATGTACACTCATGTTCATTCTTATTTTTTTTTTTAAGATTTTTATTTATTTATTATGTATACAACATTCTGCTTCCATGTATATCTGCACATCAGAAGAGGGCACCAGATCTCATAACGGATGGTTGTGAGCCACCATGTGGTTGCTGGGAATTGAACTCAGGACCTCTGGAAGAGCAGTCGGTGCTCTTAACCTCTGAGCCATCTCTCCAGCCCCCTCATTCTTACACGATTACAATTAAAGACAAAGTAGATACTTTGCTTATTTGAAAATCCAGCAAATCTTAAATATTTACTATCTGGTTCTGTGTAGAACAATTTTGATGCTGGCTTAACATAACAAATTTCTTTTGTTTGTTGAGTAATATTCCATTGTGAGGATTATACTACAGTTTATTTATTGACCAGTAGAGGGATTTCAGTGTTTTCAGTTGTAGGCAATTATGACCAAAGCCACCATAAACATTTGTGCACATATTTTGTGAAAGTAGATTTCAGGTTTTCTTGGATAAATACCCAGAAGAATCATTGGATTGTGACTGTGTTTACCTTTATACCACACTTTATCCATACGGGCCAGACAGTAAATATTTTAGGTACTGCAAGCCATATAGTCTCACATAACTCTATAACTGTGTCTGTAGCATGTGATCAACCACAGGTAGTAGGTCTACAAATGAGTGTGCCTGTGTCTCAATAGAATGTTACTTATGGACATTGGATTTGAACTTCATATACTTTCCAATCATGAAGTATTATCCTTTTGAGTTTTCCCCCTCAAATTTTTAAAAATTGGGAGGCAGAGGCAGTTGATCTCTGAGTTTGAGGCCAGCCAAGGCTACATAATGAGACCCTATCTCAAAACAAAAAATAAAAGTCATTCTTTGCATGTGAGTCATTACAAAAATAGGCAGCTGGTCATAGTTTCCACTGCTTATGCTAAAATTCAGGAGTACCTCCTGTGTGCTTACATTTTTATGATATTCTGAGAAAGGCAGAACAGAGACAATAGATACCGGTGATTGCCAAGGACAAATTATGAAGGAACACTTGGCATCTTATGGTTTCTATTGCTGTGAAGAGACACCATGACCACAACAACTCTTATAAATGACAACATTTAGTTGGGGTGACTGACTTACAGTTTCACAGGTTCAGTCCATTATCGCCATGGAAGGGAACATAATGGCATGCAGGCAGACATGGTGCTGGGGAAGTAGCTGAGAATCGTATGTCTTACAGGCAACAGGAAGTCAGCTGAGACACTGGGTGGTATCCTGAGCATAGGAAACCTCAAAGCCTGCTCCTAAGTGATGCATTTCTTCCAACAAGGCCATACCCATTCCAACAAAGCCACACCTCCTAATAGTGCCACTCCCTATGAGTGGTAATTACATTCAAATTACCACATTCCACTCCCTGACCCCTATAAGCTTGTAACAATATCATAACACAAAATACATTTAGTTCAACTTCAAAAGTCTCTATAGTATATCACAGGCTCAATAGTGTTTAAAAGTTCAAAGTCTCTTCTGAAATTTATGCAGTCTTATAACTGTAATTCCCTATAAAATCAAAATAAAAAAAACAGATCACATACTTCTAACATATAATGGCACAGAATATATATTACCATTCCAAAACATAGGGAAGGGATCATAGTGAAGAAATACTGAACCAAAGCAAGACTGAAAACCAGCTGGGCAACTCCAAACTCTGTATCTCCATGTCCGATGTCAAAACACTCTTCAGATTTCCAACTCTATTCAACTTTGTTGACTGCAACACACTTCTTTCTCTTGGGCTGTGTTGCTCTGTAGACCAGACTGGCCTCAAACTCAGAGATCTGACAGCCTCCGCCTTTCCAGTATGTGCCTCATCACACCCAACTCTAAACTTGTTTTTAATTCCTTTCACAAGTTGGAAACTTAGCTGGGTAGGATCTTACCCTGAGGTCACCACTCCCTTTATTCCATTTCTTAATCCATTTATCTCCTTGAACACAGAATTTAGCTCTATTCCACTTTCTGGTGCTCCTTTTCTCCTCAAATATTTTCCCTTGCTCAGCTTGCTCCTTTTCATCATAAATCTTTATCAGAGTTAACACTAATAACCACACAACAGTCTACACCAGGCTGTTCTGAGATTTCCTCTGCCAACAGAATTAATTCAAACTCTTCACTTTAGCCTCAGACAGACTCTTCAGACAAGGGAAAAAAGCAGCCACTTTCTTCACCAAAGTATCACAAGACCAGTCTCCAGGCCACATACTAACATTCTTCTCCTCTGAAACCTCTTGAACCCCACAGTTTATCAAATCACATTCAGCATCACCGTCTTCCATGCTGTTACTAGTATGACCTATTAAGTAGCACTTAAAGCATTCATTCCACTGCTTTCCTAACCCAAAGTACCAAAGCCCAGATATTCCCAAACAAGAACATGGTCAGGTCTATCATAGCAGTACCCCATTTTTGGTACCAACTTCTGTGTTAGGGTTTTTATTTCTGTGAAGACACACCATGACCATGGCAATTCTTAGAAATGAAGAAAATTAATTAGGATGCCTCACTTAAGTTTCAGAGGTTTAGTCCATTATCATCATGGTGGGGAGCATGGCATTGTGCACGCAGACACGGTGCTAGAGAAGCAGCAAGCAGCAGGAAGTCAACTGGGATACTGGGCAGTATCCTGAGCATAGGATACTTCAAAGTCTACCACCACAGTGACACATTTTCTTCAACAGTGCCACACCCACTCCAACAAAGCCACACCTCCTAATAGTGCCACTCCCTATGAGCTTATAGGGCCCTTGCATTCAAACTACCATACTTGGTATTGTCAACATGACAGCCATGTTGGTGACATTTCATGGGTATAGCTTTTGACATTGCTAGGAGACATAATCTAATAGCAATGGCTCTTGCAGTCTTTCTGCCCCTTCTTCCACAATGATCCCTGAATTTTAGGTGCAGGCATTGTGTTGTAGTTGGCACTGGGCTCCACAACTTCATTTTGATCAGTTGTTTTCTGTTATGGTTTCTGTCTGTTGCAAAGAAAAATTTACTTGGTGGAGGGTGAGAACAACTGTTTCTGTGGGCATAAGGACAGATATTTAGAATATAGTTAGGATTATGCTAGTTTATTGAAGTGGCACTTAAAGGTTCTCCTCCAAGATCTGATTTCACTACCCCTGGGTAATTGGCTAGGTTTCTAGTACTTTCTAGTACCCAGCATGGTTTCCTTCTCTTTGAGCAGGTCTTAACTCCAATTAGAGGTTCAGTCCATTATCATCATGATGGGACATGGCGATGTGTAGGTAGATTGGTGCTGGAAAAGAGTCCTACATCTTGCAGGCAACAGGAAGTGGTCTGTCTCAGTGGGCATGTCTTGAGCATATGTGAGACCTCAAAGCCCACCTCCACAGTGACATACGTCCTCCAACAAGACCACACCTGCTCCACAAGGCCACACCTCCTAATAGTGCCACTCTCTTTGGAGGCTGTCTTCTTTCAAAACACCTCAGGTACCTTCATTTCTTTTCTTTGGTGAAGTGACTCTCCCACCCAAGTTTATTAATATAAGTTATTTGACTTTCAAATCCTGTACCAGCCTTATATCCCCAAATTAACACTGGATAGTCTTGATTTATTAATAGTGCAAGATCTTTCCTCTCCATGAATATTGGTGTAT